ACTGTAAATTTCAGAATGGCCTATTTCCAAGGTAGTTATCAGCGTATTTCTGTCCAGTGTCACCTCAGTTCAAGTGTTCCAAAATGATATTGAAACTTTCATGGTATTGACCCGTGCTACAACTATTTCATAAATTAAAATTATATACTCATAAATGTCTAAAGTGTCCAATGATCGTTATTGTAGCTTTTTTTTAAGTTCTATGTCAGCGTGCAAATGTTGGCTGTGAATATACCCATAAACATGTTTCTGTCAATTGAAAAACGTAGAAAATGTTTCGACTGCTGCCCTGCAGTGCAAGTTCTCAAAGTTGTTGATCCTTAGTTAACTCAATGACCATCCCTCATCCATGACCTCAAAATTTTTAAGCTTTATGAGCTCATAACAGAGACAACATGGTTAGGCGTATAATCAAGTCTTCAGTCGCTGCAAGATTCACTGAGAATTTATATACGTACAAACTTGAACGCAGACGCAAATTTTTGACCACAGCACAACTAGTTTTTGCAGGAACGCTAGCAAGAAGAGAAAGCCACTTTCAGGGCAATTTTGAAGAGTTGCTATGCGATAATGAACATGTGCGTTATTCAGGACCGTTTTCCGGCTCAAGAGCGTTAGGTGCATGCTGCATATGCAGCGAACTAATGCAGGTAAGCTGAAGAAGGCGAAATTCGAGAGATCCCCTCACGACGGTGACGTTTAGAGTGACCATGGCGAAATTCAGCTGTCGCTCTGTTATTCCAAGTGGAGTTCCCAACTGACCGTCATGGTTGTTCAAGCAAAGCATTTGCCAATGTCCCAGTGCTTGGTCGCTGCTGGTACAAGACTGAAAGGTACGTTTCAAACAGCATGTGCTAATCATTTACTTTATCTAGATCCGTACGTGAGACTTTGGGTAGTGCAGTCGGCATGCCCTTCTCCGACGAAGAAAACGAAGGTCATGCACAGCACGCAGTCACCGGTGTACAAGGAAACTTTCACATTCTGTATTTCACCGCAAAAGATTAGCCTCGCCCAGTTGATGATTGTGGTAAATTTTACTTTAACAATAAAAAGGGGAGGAAGAAATAATTGGACAGATGACAAAGTCATTCTTAGAATAACCTACGTTTCAGAGGGAAAAATTGGCCATCCTCTACGTAAATGACGAAAATAAATCATTTGTCATTCCTTTGGTTCCCGTAAAGATGGTCAATATGGTTCGACCAATACTTTATGTTAAAATCAGAATTACAGAGTCAAGAAAACCATATCGAAGGTCACATGGTTTTAATTTGAGCTCCATCATGTTGTTTATTGTATTTCTTAGAGATTTAATGAACGGGAGACATGAATATAATAAAGACAACGAATGCACAACAAAAATTCTCTCTTCTGAAATAGATTTCATATTTGAAATCCCCATCACACGGCTTGCGAATAGCATGAATAGAAATGGCGGTCTTGCTTCATATGTCACATGCTTAGCAGCAAAAAAATTTAAAAAGTTTTTGCAATAAACGCATAAGGTGAGGAGTGCTGTCGAAAAATATCGAGCAGTTTCGATGATGAGATGTGTTAACAGCCGGATTAAGGCCGATCCAGGTGTTTGTGAATTTTTTTCCTTTTTTGAGTGTTCTTCAAGATATGAATGTTGAAATGTTTAATGCAATGTTAGACGTTGAAGATATCCTTAATTAATAGAAACATAATTACCGTAATGACAATGTTTCCACGCAGGTTTCTGATTTTGGTGAGATCAACGCAAACGACGAGATCGGCCACATCGCGTTTGGCAGCCACGTCTTGGACAAAAATGCGCGAGCTCATTGGCAAGAAATGATGGCCAGCAACTCCACGGTAACAACCAAATGGCATCGATTGCACTAAGCGTACAACAGAGTCAAAAGTTACAGAATCTGATTGTCGTTTGTTATCTCAAGTTCATAGTTTGATTGTCATGTTGAATCTGATTTACCATTCATCGGTCTTGTTTTAAGCACTGAATCCATGTGAATGTTTTGGAAGTTACGATACAGTTAATTACAATACTATATCACTGTCACATTCCATGTGAAATGAGATCAACCACAGCTGTCATCAATGCAACTCAGCTCGTGTAACCTATTTTATAGTTAATTACCTGTTTCCCGCCTCTGTCATCGTACGCTGTCGTATATTCAAGTGTTATCTGTGCAGTAGAAACTATGGTTTTTAGATCCATTATTCGACCAATGCATTTCAATGCACATTGTTGCAAATGGTGCATAATGGTTCCATTACTGAAAACACCAAATCATATTAGCGACATGTTTTGATGCGCAATCATTGAACAGAACCGATCATGTTGCTCTAGACACCATTGAGCGAGTGTGGCATAAGCCAGTACCGTCAGCAGTTCCCGTTTGACGTCATTGTAAGACAGTCACGCCTTTTAACATTTATTATTATTTTTTTAAAACGTCATGAGTCTTTAATTAAAGAACATTCTATGCGTGGTCTTCCCGTTTGTGACTTACCAAAGA